TTTTATCTCTTTACCTCATCAATTTTAATCACTTTATATCAATAATGACCGATTGTCCACTGCCGCATTGCCCACTGACGCATTGTCCGGACACGAATTAAACTAACCAAAGATTTAATATTTTTTAATTTTTCCAATTCATTTGTTAATTCAGCAATCTTTTTGTTAAATAAATCATTTGCCTTAAATTATATAAATTTAAAATATTTTTATTTGGAAATTTTTAAAAGAAATTATATTTTCTTTTAAATACACAGAATTTCAAGCGTGGGGCCCGTTTAAGACATTCCTTAATTAAATGACTCCTTAAAACTCCATAAAATGACCCGTCCGATCTGGGTAGTTGTGTGACAAATTGGGGGTCTCTGGTTCGAACCCGTTAGCCGATAACTAATTTTTTATTCACCTTTTTAATTTCTTCTTCCAACAAATTTATTTTTTCATCTTTTTGGTCATTCTCAGATTTTATTTTTTGAAATTTCTAAAATTTAATTTAAATAATTTAATTATCCAAAATAACCTCATTCATTTCTTTTTCATTTTTCTCCTTTTCTTTCAAAAACTTTTTCCATTTTTCATCAACTTCTTTCATTTTTTCATCAATTAATTGCTGGAAAGTTTGTTTTTCTTTCTAAAAATTATTTTAAAAAATAATTTAAATATCCAAACAAACCTCCTTCAATCCATTTTCAAGATAAAAAATTTTCTTTTCCAAATTTAAACTTTTCTCTTTTTCCTCAATATATTTAGTTTGAAGTTTTAAATAATCGCTTAGACTTGGCTTAAACAAAAATTTAATTTTTTTTAAAATTATTTTTTAAAATTTACTTTTAATTCCGCCTCACAATTTGATGATCCTTCTCCATTCATTTTGTAAAATTTCTGAAATAAACAAAATCTTTTTTAAGAAAATTCAGATAAACGATCAATTAAAATATTTTTATCAAAATTTTAGCGCCAAAACATTTGCGCTGCCGTTTATACGCCGTGTCAGTTTCGCCGCCGTATCTTTAAAAATACTTAAGAATACTGTATTTAGTCTAAATAATATTTAGAATGTGAATCATTCTATTTTCCAAAATCTATGAAATGTGTCATTCAAATGTCATCAACCAGAAGCTATCAAGCCATCAAAAATATGATTTTCGATTATTTAATCGTTTACTACAGAACAAAGAGAGAAGGCCCAAAAACTTGTCACTATAAACTTATTTAGAATATCCTCAAAACCTCTGTAAAAATATCCTAGAATATCATTTCCAGGTGCTGAAATGACTCCGAAAGGTTTGGCACCTTCATTTCAAATAACTACTTAGTTAAGTTCAAAATAATTTCAAATCCCTTTTTTCCCACATTTCCCTGACCAATATAGAACTCTTCCAGCTCTGTCGAATGATAAAGTGGTTGGTTAAATTTGATCATATATTTATTTGTTCTTTATTTTATTTCACATTTCCTATCTTTTTCCAAAAAATATTGTCTTTTAAACCTAATTAAACTCTTTTATAATTTCTTATAAGGAGCTTCTAATTAATTTAATATTTAAATTAATCAACAATAATTTTATTCAAAAAGTAAACTTTAAAAAATTATGAAATGATTGTTTTAACAGTTCTAATTTTACCCTACTTTTTTTTCCTTTTTTAAATAAATTATTAAAAATTAATTTGCAGAAAATTTAAAAAAGTAAAAATCGTTTATTTTTAACTGATAAAAAGTAAAATCAGAGCAAAATAAAATTAATCAATAAATCGTCCAATAAAATTTGGGAACTAAATGTTTTGAAAAGTCATATACAAAAGGTTTAGCCTCCAAATCATCTCCAAAATTTGTTTCTACAGAACAACAAGTAAGGACAACATAAGGCTTATAGGAGTCATTAATGTCCTTTAACGGCACAGCTTTGCCTTTAAAATTATTAAAATAATTTTAATTTCAATCTTTACCAATTTGTTTTCCATTTTGAGTAAAGAAAATATAGGGAACACCCTCAGGCGGATAAACTAATCCGCAACCAAAAACATCGTTATCATTCCAAATAAATTTTGAAAGATAAAAACATTCATCTATTTCATTCATAATTGAAGTAATATTTGCACTAAATCTAACATATTTATTATTAGCACAATTTTTAAGGCCAATATACATTCCCTTATCATTAAATTTTCCTTCAATTTTGCATTTAATTTCAAAATAAAACACAGAATAATTAATGCAATTTTGTGGTTGTTTGAACGAATTTTTAGCAAGAATTAAAGAAGTATTATTTACACCTAAAAACTGAATTTAAATTCGAATTCAAAGCGAATATTTTGAGAATTTGAGAAAATTTTTGGTTATATTTATATATTCTAGAGAGCGGGCTGGATCTGGATCCAGACCTTGATTTTTCCTTGACTCATGGTCTTTTTTGAAAATCTCGCTCTCTAATATATTCCTTAATATGTACAAATGGTCAAAAAAATTTTATATTACCGCTTTAACCACAGGAAAAAAGCAAAATAGAGGAAAAAAGAAAATCTGACCATTTTGTACATGTTAGGTAATAAAAAATGGGGAATACTACTATTACTAAATTATTACATTTTATCAAAATCGTCGGATATTAGTTAGCATATTAGATTCGACTTATCTCTAGCTGTAAGCAAACTATTTATTTCTTTGAATAATTTATTCTTTACCTTTTCCTTCAAAATTAACATATTTTATAGTATTTCCATCATTAATTAAATTAACAAATCCATTCCCTTCAATACACTTCCCATCAGGCTTGTTTGTATTTATACATTCATTCTCACAACATTTTAAACTACTATCATAACTAAAGTCAATTTCTTTCCATTTATTGCTGATTTTAATAAAACTCTTTAAATGAACAAAAATTTTATTTTAAAATTAATTAAACTAACCAAAGGTATATAATTTATATTTTTCAATTTTTCCATTTCACTTGTTAAATCAGCAATCTTTTTGTTAAACAAAGCATTTGCCTTTTTAAAAATTAAATAATATTTAAATTTACTTAAATAATTTTTACTCACCTCTTTAATTTCTTCTGCTAAAAAATTTATTTCCTCATCTTTTTGTTTATTATCAAATTTTATTTTTTTAATTTTCTAAAATTTAATTTAATTAAATAATTTATCCAAAATAACCTCTTTCTTTTCCTTTAATTTATTTTCAAGAAAAATATTTTTATTTTCAATTTCTTTAATTTTTTCATTAAATTCTTTCTAAAATTATTTTAAAAATAATTTAATTTAAATAATCTCTAAACCTCCTTTTCAAGAAAAAAAATTTTCTTCTCCAAATTTAAACTATTTTCTTTTTCCTCAATATATTTTGTTTGAAGATTGGCAAAATTATTTTGAAATTTAATTAAATAATCGCTTTGACTTGGCTTAAACAAAAATTTTATTTTTTTTTATTTTTTTTTAAATTTACTATTAATTCCATATCAATATTCGATAATTCATCTTCAGTCATTTTGAAAGAATTTAAATTAATTATTTTAAAATTTTGGTTAAATTAAAATAATAACTTTTAAAAATCTAAAAAATTAATTTAAAAAATTAAAAACCTTTTCTTAATTTTATTTTTTCTTATAAAAATTTTGTAATTGAAGTAAATGTAAGAGAAAAATCCATTTATATATTGCAGGACTTTTAGCCTAGAAACAATTTTTTGTAAGGAATTTATTTTTAAGAATATTTTTGTCTGGGAAATATATTTTTTGTTTAAAATAAAAGATAAAAAATGTTTTGAGGGAATATTTTGAATTATTAAGTACTTTTAAAAAAAACTAAAGAAAGCAGCAGCAAAAACCTCCACGGGAACCATAACATTTTTAATTAAATAAAAAATTTAAAAAACTATTCAACTCTTATTTGCGTATAGGCCAATTTTTTAATTATAGTACATTTTCAGTTTGATTTTTTTAAATTTTAACGAATACTATATCCCTTCACGGTAAATTACAAAACCTTTAATTTATTTAATGAGCTTCTAATTAATTTAATATTTAAATTAATCAACAATAATATTAAATAATTATTTAATTATATTCACATATAAACCAGCTGTTGTTATTTTATCCCTCACAATATTAGCCTTTCACCGCAAAGAATTGATTCCCATAGGGAGTATATTTATTTGTTTATTTTTATCTTATTTCCCTTAGCTTTTCCCTCAAAATTTTCTTTTGTCCATTTTGTTAGGGTCATTCATTTCCTCATACTTTTCAGCTGCTCTACAGCTGAAAAGCACTAAAAATACCAACTAAAAATATTTTAATCTTTTATTCATTTTAAACTCTTTGAATAGAATTTTAATCCATAAAAGCAATTTCTTTTTTCATTTAAATTTTTATTCTCTCGGTAAATGTCCAGTTGATGTCCTACCTGTCCGCAAAGGGAATGCGCACGTTTTCTTCCTTTCTTGCATTTTTTGTAAGAAGTGGCACTCATTTCTCCTTTTCCGTGCGTTTTGGCATTTGAACGGAAAGCAGGAGAATAATTAAAATTAATTAATTTTTACAATTAAGCATATTTCTTATTGAAATTAAAGAATTTATCGTTGAATGAAGCACGACGAGGAAACATAAAAATGTCAAAATTTGGCTTCATTGTGGCGCTAGGACACTTTGTGGTGATTTTTCAATTTCTCGAAGTTTTCAGATATTTCTGGCGCCACAGAGGAATTCTAGATTCTTGGCCATCGTAAATTTAAGGAATTTTCGCTACTATTTACAGTCAGCTTTATTTAAATTTTTTTCAAATTTAGTTCAAGGAATGCCGTAATAAATATATTTAGTATTTAGGCACACAATAAATATTTTTAAATGTTCCATAATTTTCAAATTATTTCAAGATTCCATTTCTTTCTCTCTATAATTTTCTTTTACTTTCAAAAATAGTAAAAATAATTTTATTTAAAAAAATCGTGCATAAAATCCAAAAATGTCAAATTAACTCAAATAAAAAAAATCATTTAAAAATCCTTCAATAATATTCTGTAACTAAATGCTTTGAAATATCATAAACAAAAGGTTTAGTCTCCAAATTATTTCCAAAATTCGTTTCCACAGAACAACAATTGAGTGCAACATACGGCGTATATGAGTTACTACCATCCGTTAAATATACAGCTTTGCCTGTAAAAAATTTTATTTCAAAATTTAATTTTATCTTTCTAATACCAATTTGTTTTCCATTTTGAGTAAAGAAAACATAAGTATCATCATCAGGCGGATAAACTAGTCCGCAACCAAAAACATCGCTATTATTCCAAGTAAATTGTGGAATATTAAAATTATCGTAGTTATCTAAAATTGAAGCACAATCTGCCCCAAATCGAATATATTCATACTCATCTCCCATTTTGAGTCCAATAAACATTAAATTTTTATCATTATTTAATAATCCCTCAATTTTTGTACATTTAATTTCAAAATAAAATAGAAAGTAATTATTGCTGTCTGGAGGTTCTTTGAAAGAATTTTCAGCAATAATTAAACAAGATTTATTTACGCCTAAAAATATTGAATTTTTTTAAATTATTAATGCCACTAAATATCCGTGTCAGGCTAAAACGGATACGACATAGGTAGTCGGATAAAATATGGTTTTACCAAAACACGGGACGCCCAAAATATTAATATTTTTTTAAATCAGAATTTTTTAAATTAGACTGAGATCCGGCCTGAGTAATCCAAGGAATTATGTATGGCATGAGCGCGGAAAAATGATTTTACAGGACACTAGTACCAAAATATTTATTTTATTATTTACCTTTCCCTTTTCCACATTTAATATATTTAATATTTTCATCATTAATTAAATTAACAAATCCATTCCCCTTAATACAATTTCCAATTGGTTTATTTGTTCTTATACATTTATTTTCACAACATTTAAAATCACTCCTGTAACTAAAGTCGATTTCTTTCCATTTATTTTCAATTGAAATAAAATTCTTAAAAACAAAAATTATTAAAAATAATTAAATTAACCAAAGGTATACAAGCCTTATTTTTTAATTGTTCCAATTCGATTGTTAAAGCATCAACCTTCTTGTTAATTAATTCATTTGCCTTTTTTAAATGAATAAAGTTAAAATATTTTTAAATAAAATAATATTTTCATTCACCTTTTCCAACGAATTTATTTTCTCATCTTTTTGATGATTATCAATTTTTATTTTTTGAATTTTCTAAAATTTAATTTAAATTTAAATAATTTATCCAAAATAACCTCTTTCTCTTCTTTCAATTTATTTTCAAGAAAAATATTTTTGTCTTCAATTTCTTTCATTTTTAAATTAAATTCTTTCTAAAATTATTTTTAAATAATTTAATTTAAATAATCTCTAAACCTCCTTTTCAAGAAAATAAACTTTCTTTTCCAAATTTAAACTATTTTCTTTTTCTTCAAAAAGATTTTTTTGAAGATTGGCAAAATTATTTTGAAGTTTTATTAAATAATTACATTGACATGGCTTAAACGGAAATTTTAATTTTTTTTCTAAAATTGTTTTTTTTTAAATTATTTACATTTAATTCCAAATCATGATTTGATGATCCTTCTTCAGTCATTTTTAAAAAATTTATTATAATTATTTTCTGAAAAAAGTTTTATTTAAAAAATCTAGATAAATTAAGATTAAATAAAATTATGTATTAAATTATGTAATTGAAGAAAAATGCGAAAAAATATTAAAAAACTCTATTAATATATTGCTAGACTTTTGGCCTAGAGACAATTTTTGAAAGAATTTTTGCGAATTTTTGTTTGGGAACTACGGGAAGGTTGACGGCCTGGGGTAATTAATTAATCCGTGGAGGGAATGGAACGGAGAAAGGAATTTTACAAGATACCTAATTTCATATTTTCTTTTTGCAATACGTACAAGACTGGACTATTTCTGCAAGTACATATTTTTGTTTTTAATAAAAAACCCCAAATTGTGCTTACTCCCCCCTATGGTTTTTCGATTTTCGGAGACCTATATCTCGGCTCATAGGCATTTCCGCAGATATAGAGTTGTACCATTCGACTCAGCTCGGTGAGACGAATCGAATGGTACCGGTTTCATGTATTTTTTCCGCGTCCGCTAGACTAAAGTACAGCCGATAATTCTGCGGTACGACAATTGCGGATACGCAATTTATTAAAATTAAGATTTTTATAGTTTTCAGTGCTGAATCAGTACAAATGAACCGGAAACCGTCAGAAGTCGGAACCTAACAGCCGGGACTAAAAAACAAGATCTCACTTCAATAATTTTTAAAATTTAAAAAATTTTAAATCCACAATCGTTGTCCGTAATTATTATATCCGCAATCGCGTATCCACAATTCTCGTAACACCGATAATTCTCACATTTAGAGCATTTGAATCCCAAATAATTCAACGCGAAGGTATCCTACAAGACGTTAAGAAGCCCTTTACCATGGAGATTCTTCAAAGGATCCGACAAACATTTATCTATATTTTTATTTTTTATTCAATCAAACCCTTCATTTATTCTCTTAATTTACACATTATTATTCCTCCTATGTAACAATTTGTCCCAAAACTCTTTACACTGTCCTCTCCCCCTTAATTGCATCCTTCGTGCCCATCACAGCTTTTTCTTCTTTTTTATTTCTTCCCTACTAGCCAGTCTCCTCTCCCCCTACCCCTTTTTGAATTTCCCATTCCCCTGTATGTAAAAGAGCTAATTTTGGAGGCAACCAAAACCCCTAGCGGCATTCATCGTTAAAGCATATATAAAAGTGAGTCGAAGGACGTTTGTAAATCGATTCAACAAAGAATGGGAAAAAGACATAAAAATGGAACATTTGTAATGAATCATAATAAAAAATTAAAAAATTCTTTTGAATAAATTAGAAATTTAAAATAAAGCCTCCTCATTTTTTGTATTTTTGGGACGCTTTTAGGCGCTGCGCAAAAAAATTATTAAGAAACAATTATAGTCTCGTTGCTTAAATTTTTCACTTAATCTACCAACTATCCTTCAAAATGTATTTTTTAACTTGTCTAAAAATTTTAGAATTTTTGTTTTGTCCTCTTAATTTATACATTATTCTCCCTATATAACAATTTGTCCTTAAACTACATTGAAGATCGGACAAATGGCATGGTTAATTATTTGATATTTGAAAAAATTTGAATGAAATAATTTTTTCAGATATCAAATCTGAAAAAAATTTGAGTGAGGAATGTCTGGTCCAATCTCTATTATTTTACAAGTTATTGGCAGATAAATATATATTTTTCTAAAAATTTTTAAATTTATTGTCAAGTTGGATCACGCTAATTAAAATTATTTTTTAGAAAAATAATTCCAAGTTCCCTAGCAATTATTAATTATTGTTGACAAATTTTTTCTTTGACTTTTCTTTTGTTAATTAAAATTTATAATTCATCTCCTGCTAATTTATTTTCTTACTCACATTTATTTTAAATTATATTTTTGCAAAAATTGAGAGAATTTTTGTTTAAAAAAAAATAAAATTTTTAAACAAAAATTATTTTTCTTTTTTTCTTCCCCATATTTGTCACTTCTCTCTCTCCTTATTTTACCGATCATCATCTTCTTTTCAATTGCTACTTTGCAATTTTTTGGGTCGAAAAATAATTGGAGCGGGAGCGACGGGATAAAACATTTTTTTAAAAACAAAACCAAAAATACCTTCCCTCCCCTACACGTCCTTCCCTTCCCTTATTTTTCTTTGTTTTTCCCCTAAAAATTTATTTTTTTTACATTTCATCCTTTAAAATCTTTAATTTTTAATTCTTTTTTCCCAAACAAAAATGTTTTTATTTGAAAAAAGGAGAAGCTATTCAAGCGAATAAAACGCGACAATTCCTTTTTCGGTTTTTTACTTAATTTGGATATTTTTTAATGTGAAAAACAAAAAAAAATTAAATAAAAATATATCCTTCGTTTAAAAGAAATTAATGGGGTTTATAGTAAATGACACACGATATTTTTATTTTTTTATTTAAAAAAATAAATTACTAATTAATTAATTATTCAGCTTTAATTAACCTTAGAATGATTAATTTTTTCTGTTAAAAAATCTTTTTTTTTGATTCAATAATTGATTCAAATTCAATAATTGATCATTTTTAATTATTAAATTAATTAAGGAATGGCCACCCCCTTTTTTCCTGTTTCCCTGCCTATTTTGAGCTTTTTTGCTTGATAACTTTGTTAAATAAATCAGATTATGTTGATTTTATTTTCAGCTGACCTAGACCGAAGAGCTCATTCGAATAATACTATATAATTTGCCATAAAAAGGGAAAAGATTTAACAAAATAGAAAGGGAAAATGTCAATGCTCAGCCAAACTACTATATTCTTTAAAATAAAAAAGTGTAAGGGTGGTTGGGGTAGTGGTTAGTGGTGTTGACTTTACTGTTTTTTAGCTAGGTTCGATCCCTTTTAGGGTTATATTTTTTATTCAGCTTTTTAATTCTCTAAATATCTCTTTAGACAATTTTTTTTAATATTTTTTAATAATATTTTTTTCTAACTTTCTTCTTTTTATTTAATTTATCAACTTATAAATTTTCTTCTCTATATGTATATTTTATGATTATTCACTTAATTCATTGAAGGCCAAATCTACTCATCAAATTACACATTTTCTCTAATAAATAAAAATATATATTTGTGTTTAAATGTTTATTTTACTATTTTATTTAAAAAAAATATTTTTCTTCTTTTTTTAATTATTTTTTTTGCATTTTTTATTTAATTTAATAGTTTAATCTTTACTTGTCTCTCTTATGTTTACACACTATTTCTTTAATTTTTTTTTAATTTTTTAATTTAATTTTTAATTTAATTTTAATTTTTAGCTTATACTAAATGCCATTAAATATTCTTTAATTAATTAATTCTTTCTGCTTTTCTTTTAAAAAACATTCCGGTATTTTTAATTTAAAAAATGTTTATTTTCCCTTCTCTTTCATTTATTCTTTTATTTTTAATTAATTTCTTCCAAACAACTTCTTCTGAAAATGCCAACAACAAAAATCATAAAACAACAGAAAATTCAACCCAAATTAAAATTCAATTCGAACCTTTCAAAAAATCGTCAGAATATAGGTGTGGGGCTTTTGGACAACAATTTTCTCAGAAAGATCCGGCAATGAAAATATTGCATTCAATACAGAATGGATTTATTAAAACGTTTTCTGAACCTTTTCCACATAGAAGTAAATAAAAATAATTAATTTTTAAAATTAAAAATAATTTTTGTTTGAAGAAAATTTCCTTCAATTAATTTAAATAAATTACAAAAAATATTCGGTCCGTTTATTTTGGCCGGCCTTTATTGGAGGCAGTTCAATTTAAACTAGGGTAGCACTCTGAGCCTTCGG